CAACAAAGACAGGGCTGAATAGTTGCAATAGAGACCCACAAAACCTCAAATATTTACAATCTGGACCTTTACAGAAAATGTTTGCCTACCCCTGAGCTAACTGATTCCTAGACTTTAAAATGTTCTGTGAATGCTCCACCTAACTTCCTTTGTCAGATAATAACATAACAAGAAGACAGGATGTGATCTTTATTTCTAAATAGAGTTTATTTTATTCCAGATATAAAAAGAAATAGCAAAAATGTTCAACAGGAAAAATAATTGAAAAAAGAGAACACTCATGATCCCATCTCCCAAAATCCATCTGTGATTATATCTTGTTCTATTTCCTTCTCATGGTTTTTGTCCTGAGTGTTTAACGTGTTTTCTTTTCCAATTCAAAAATAATACATCATCATTTTTAAAAACATAGATATGAGAATATAAAAGGCCATCCTTATTCCTAACCCTGAGGGATAACTATTTGGCTTTTTTTTATAATTTCCCTTAAGTGCTTTTTTAAACGCACAATTTTTGATATTGTATTTTCATTATATGAATCATCTTCATATGTAGAATTTGGTATCGTGATTTTTTTTTATTCATAAAAATCATGGGCATTTTCCAACTTCCTTTGTTTTAATATACTTATGGTCAAAAGTGCATATTCAGATTTGTACCTCTTTTTCCACTTAACATGACACAATTACATGCCTGGGGAAAATATTCATTCTGACCGGCAGCTACTCTGTTTCTCTGTAAATGTCCTAAATCTCACCAGATGCTTAAAAATTCCTATCCAAAACTCCCAGCCCTAAGAAAAAAGTGTTGCTTCCTTGATTCTAGCTCATTCTAAAGATCTTTCAAAGGAATAAGAATCCTTAATCTCTCTTGGAAATGTATGGTTTGTTTTTTTGGGGGGGCGGGGGGGGGGGAGAATGGCTGAGTGGCTCAGTTGGTTAAGGGCTCGCTCTGGCAGTGAGTCGTGGCAACAGCATAGGCTGCAGTGGGGCTGGCCAGCAGCGGGCATGTGCTTTCGTGAGCTGCTGTGAGCCACGCTGAGCGGCCGTCCAATGGCCAACGAGAGACTGCCTCAGCCAGGAAGAGTGCAATGATAATACCAACATAGACCAGTGAAGCGACATCCTCTACAACCAGACTGAAGAGCAAAAGGACAACAACTTGTCTGTTCCCCTCCCCCAATTCCCGAATAAAATCTTTAAAAAAAAAAAAGAGTGCATGCTCTGAACAACAGGGTCACTGGTTCGATTCCCGGCCAGAGCTGAGCTGCCGCTGAGTTGCCAACAGGTGGCAGGATGGTTAAGCTAAAAAAAAAAAGAAAATGTATGTTTTTTTTTAACTGTTCAGTTTTGACTCAGATTCACCCTTATATACCTATTTGACATCTTTCTATTACTACATCCTGATTGTATATTGTTTAATTTAGGGCACAATAATTAAACCCCCTGTGAACCCACTACTGTAATTTGAGTGCCTAAATCAGTGTTTCTCAACACCAGCTGTACACTAAAATCACCTGGAAAGTGTTTATAAGACTCCTGGGTCCCCCGCCCGCCCCCCCCCACACACACACACATTCTGATTTAGTTGGTCTGGGGAGGAGTCCTCGTTTGTTAGTAAGGGCTGCAGGCAATTCTAATACTCAGCCAATATTAGAGTTACTGACACAGATCTAGGAACTCACCTTATTGTTCTCCATAAAACTCATCAGTCATCTGGCTCCATCTTTCCTCCTTCAAATACTCATGTCTCATTCAGGTGATGGCTGGAGCCCTATTGGGACAGTCACAGGGAAGCAGATTCACAACACAAATCATTCTAACATCAAG